GCTGTTCCATGCTCTTGATCATCATCAACTAGATTTATCCACTCATGGAAGCACTTAGCAAAACATGACCATTTTCACGCACCGGCAGCATTTGCTATTGAAATGCCTTCATCTCCTTTCATCTATTTTTTTTCATTTTGCAGATTTCAGCCTAAAATGCATTAAAGATAAACGGATCCCAATTACCGTTACTGTCGTCATCACAGCGTTGATCATCACCGTAATTGCACTGGCAGGTGAGTTAAGGGTCATTACTAACCCAGCTGATTCTCATTCCCTTGTCACTGATTCTTCACTGACTGCTTGTCCTAGCCCCAAGGTCACGGTGCCCACGTGCGTTTCCCACGGCCTCTTCTCACCCCGTCTTTGCCCTGGTCTGACTCCTCCATTGAAGCACATTCCCCTTTTCAGAGGGGAAATCTCTCTCCAGACCCTTTCCCCAAAGAGGAAGGGCCTAACCCCATTCCCTGCCCCCTGGGAAGCAGCCCCACTAGATCCCAGGCCGGGGTAGCGGTGTAGGGATGCAGTGGGTGGGTCTCCCTGCCTCCCATTCCCTGTGTCATCCAACGCCCAGTCTCACCTTAAATTGTCGTAGCTTTGGGTGCCACTGTGTGGCCGTGGCTCACAGCGCATCTCGAAAATTGTTTCCAATCCATTTATCATTGTTCCTCCTCCCCCATCCGCAGTACTGTGTGTAAATGCAACTGGGAGTCAGGCAGAGGATTCAGTTCCCTGATCTGGGCCAGTCTCTTGTGGCTTTGGGAACATTTCTGAATGTCTTTTCTGTGCCAAATCTCCTCCGTAAAACTCACGTGACACAGAGAATCTGTCGTGCTGTACGAATTCTTCCCATTCCGGGCTGGGTGTCGCTGGCGCAGCGGAAAGGGGTGTGTTGGAGTGTGTGCTCCCTGCCCCCAGGAACCGAAGAGCTCCCGGGATTCCTTAGAGAAGACACATGCTGTAGGGAGTGTGCGGTGACAGCTGTCAGTGCTGGAGCAAGGGGCTGGCTGCTTGGCCTCACTGGGCAAACAGACCGTCACAAGGAGGAACACGCTCTAGGGGTCGGGTTGGGCTGCGTGGAGAGTGGGAGACTCTGGGCTGGATCCTTAGACCACTTTATACCACTCTGGGGACTCAAGGTGGATGCAAAGAGCCTCTGAGAATCCCCCCAATTCAGGGGCCTCCCCAGTTGGTGTATGGGCTCTGCACCCAGAGCATAGGGGATGGGTTGTGGTTGTGGCCAGAGCACGCTGCATTACAGCTGTTCTGTGCTTCCCAGGCGGCCTGAGAGCAGAGGGTAAGTTAGAGCAACCCTGAGGCTGCTCTAAGTCACACCGGGGGAAGGTCAGGGCCCTGAATGGCCCCGGAATACAGAAAGGGCAAAGCCAGCATCTCTTCACATGTGCCAGACATCCACACGTGTTCTTTTGCTACAGAGCACATGCCAGCATTTCTACCGATTAGTTAATGCGTCTTTGCATTGGGAAATCACATGGCAGGTAAAAGTTTCCATTGACCCGAACTGAAATTGTTTCTGGCTTTTCAGTTCATGAAAACTTTTGACTTTTCTCCCCGACTCAGAAAGGGAAAATTCTGTGAAACCTCGAACGTTTTTGCAGGATCTTGGGAAAACCGTTTCCTGCATCCCTCTTGTTAGGCTCCTTTGCCCTCAGTTTTAGTGGCCGCTTTAATGGCCTGTTTTAGTGGCCTGAGTGGAACGCCTTGGCGAGTGCGGCCTTTGAGCCCAGCCACAGAGAACATAAGTTGTTCTAGCCTCACCTAGGGGCTCTCGGCTATGATATTACGGGTCTCGCTCTTCGCTCTGGAGGGCCCCAGTTCTAGCCCTGGTGTGGCAACTGTCACATGTGTGTACTGAGGATGGTACGTCAAGGGGGAATCCATGAAATGCACCCACCCCTCCCATTTTTCACCCTTTGCCCCAAGGAGGCGTATTTGAATGGGCTGCCCATCCCTGGCAGAATGGGCCACCACATACGATGGTGCCGGAAGTTAAGATGGCGGACAGGCCCATTTTGATGCACGGGTACAGTGGGTCATGATGCCATCTTAGCTCCACCCCTGTCCTCCCCAGCCACCCCATGCAAATGGTGGCTGTACAACCAGGAGTGGGGCTCTGTCCGGGGAGCAGAGACTCTGACAAAGGTTTGGGAGTCATGGGGGTGGACACGATGAACACGAGCTCCCAGTGGGATGCTGTGGCCAAAGGCTCTAATGTGACCCTGGGATGTATAACCAGGGGAATCTCGAGTAGGAGAAGAGAGGTTATTTTACCTCTGGATTTGGCCCTGGTGCAACCACTGCTGGAATCCCGTGTCCAGTTCTGGTGCCCACAATTCAGGAAGGATGTTGATAAATTGGAGAGGGGTCAGAGTTGAGACACAAGAAGGATTAAAACCTGCTTTATAGTGATAGACTCAAAGAGCTCCATCTGTTTACAAGAGAAGGTTAAAGGGTGACTTGATCCTAGTCTACAAATACCTACATGGGGCACAAATATTTAACATTGGGCTCTTCAGTCTAACACGATCCAATGGCCGGAAGTTGAAGCTGGACAAACTCAGACTGGGAATAAGGCATCAGCTGTTAACAGTGAGCGTTCGTCACCCTCAGAACAAGTTACCAAGGGGCGCGGTGGATTCTCCATCACTGACAGTTTGTAAATCACGATGGGATGATGATGTAAAAGCTCTGCTCCAGGGATTATTTTGGGGCAGTTCTAAGACCCGTGTGATGCAGGAGGTCAGACAAGATGATCACAATGGTCCCTTCTGGTCTTGGGATCTCTGCAAATCGACAACCCAGGCCTGAGACGTGTGGGTCTTAGTGCCCTCTCTGGCCGGGATTCCCACACAGAGACAGACACCAGGGATAGGCCCATCTCTCTCCACTGTGCTACTTGCTTATTTTCAGCCAAGAAGATGCCCCCCTGCCCACGCTGCCCACCCCATGTCACTGCTGCGTGCCCGGATGGCTGGGTGGGATACCAAGGGAAATGCTACTACTTCTCAGAGACTGAAGGGAACTGGAACAACAGCCAGAGCCACTGCTCTTCCCTCAACGCCTCCCTGGCTTCCATTGACTCCCTGCCGGAGCTGGTAAGTAAGAGACACGAACCTTCATAACCACAGCTAGGGACATGCCAGAGCCTGGGTCCCCTGAAGGCCTAAGGCAGCTCCTAGATTCAAGGAACTGGTTGTGGAAATTCAGAGTCAGGATTTGACGTTTTTAATAGAAAAAATTTGATTTTCCCCCCAAAATTTTCATTTTATTTTTAACTTCAAATGTGGTTTCATTTTGGGGTTTTTTTAACTCCAAAATATCATTTTTCTAAATATTAGGATTTTTTTTCCTTTCAAAAAAGGGAGGAACGGTAAAAAGCGTGGGAAAGAGGTGTGGGAAACTTGCCTTTAAAAAAAAAAAAAACTATATCCCAATTTTTTCCCAGCAGGAAAACAGTGCAAATGTTACGTTGAAAGAGAACAGAACGTTTTCCAACCAACAGTACATGCCGCACGTTTTATTTATTTATTTGATTATTCATTTAATTTATTTATAAACCATCAATAAAGACAAGTGCAAAGTACTTCACCTAGGAAGGAAAAATCAAATGCACAACTACACAATGGGGAGTAACAGGCTAGGTGGTCGTACTGCTGAAGAGGAGCTGGTGGTTCCAGTGGATCACAAATATGACTGTGTCGATAATGTGACGCTGCTGAGAAAAAGGCGAATCTCATCCTGGGGTGTATGAACAGGAGTGTTGTATGTAAGACACGGGAGGAGATCGTCCCGCTCTACTTGGTGCTAGTGAGGTCTCGTACTGTGTCCACTTCTGGGTGCCTCACTTTAGGAGACGTGGACAATTTGGAGAGAGTCCAGAGGAGAGCAACTAAAATGATCAAAGGTTGAGAGAACCTGACCTATGAGCAAAGGTTTAAAAAACTGGGCGTGTTTAGTCTTGAGAAAAGAAGGCTGAGTGGGGACCCAATAACAGTCTTCGACTATGTTCAGGGCTTTTATAAAGAGGGCACTGATCAGTTGTTCTCAATGTCCACTGAAGGCAGGACAAGAAGTAACGGGCTTAATTTGCAGCAAGGGAGATGTAGGTTTGATATTAGGAAAAACTTTCTAACTCTCATGTTAGTTACGCTCTGGAACAGGCTTCCAAGGGGGGAATCCCCATCACTGGAGGTTTTAAAGACCAGGTTGGACAAACCCGTCAGGGATGGTTTAGGTTTATTTTGTCCTGCCTGAGCACAGAGGGCTGGACTTGATGATCTCTTGAAGTCCCTTCCAGCCCTATGTTCTATGATTCCCAAAAGTTGGGAAACTGTAAGAACATGGGAGGAAACTCCCCAGTTATGAAATGGGGGGAAGGGGGAAGTATTTGGGTTTTTAAATAAATTTTCCTGTGGAAAAATATCATGTTGGATGAACCCCTTTGCCCTGTGTAGTTTGACTGGCAGCTCTTTGGGCGAGGGACCAGCTTTCTGTGTGTGCAGCACCTAGCACGTGGGGGCCCTGATCCCCATGACGGCGGCTGTAACACAGCTAAGGATATAATGTGTGTGTTCTTATCCACAGAATTTCATGCTGCGCTATAGAGGGATCCTTTACCACTGGATTGGCCTCCATAGGGAACAAGGCGAGGGCCAGCCCTGGAAGTGGACCAACGGTACCATATTCAACAACCTGTGCGTCCCTTTTCCTCATTCGCTTTCTCAGTAGTAGGGTGCAGAGAAATGCAACAAAACCCTGGGCTGGGTGGAGAACGGGGATTGGAAGCGAGACCTCAGGATCTTAAAAGCCTGATCCTCTACTGCCTGAGCGACAGGGCTCGTTCTGGGGAGGTTGCACCTGGAGGAGACTTGTAGACTCTTCCATAGCGTAGGCACCAGAGGAGGACAGAGAGCCCCACTCGGGTAATGTGGATGACACAAGTGGGACTGGTTGGAAAAATTCCTACTCAAAGTTTTCCCTTATGGAAAATCTGGTTGTGTCAAAAGCAAAATTTCCTTCAGGGAAAGGTCACTGGATGAGATTTTTCCATTGCAGAAATTGACTCAAATGTTTATTTTCAATCAACCCAGAATGAAACCTTTTCATTTTGGTTTGCCTGTGGGGCCGCTGCAGCACATCATGGGAATTGTAGTTCTGGGTCCTTCCAGTCCCATTTGACCTTGGTCTTTGATCAGACATCTCCCATGATGCACTGCAGTGTCTCACTCATGCGTGTTCTTATGTGGTATTTTGGTGATAGGAAGACACTGCAATGCATCATGGGAGAGGTACTCCAGTTGGGACTCAGGACCTATAGGAGAGAACAGGGGCGGAAGAACTAAGAACTACAATTCCCAAGATGCCTGGCATCAGCCCCACAGTCTATCTAATGAAAATGTTTCATTTGGGTTGACCTAAATCTTTTTTGGAGGGGAAGAGAATTTCTGTTCTGTGGGAAATCTAAATATTTTGACTTTTTGTCCCAAAACATGAGAATATCCCGTAGGATGGAAATTCCATTTGTCACCCACCTCTGTACACATGGCTCCCCCTGAATCATTCACGAGCACAACCCATCGTTCGTGCACAATGACACCCCTCAGAGGGGAATCGCTACAGCTAGGGGATGCGGCAGATCAGTGGGGGAGCAGCTCGGTAGCCGTGTTAGGTTCTTCCTAAGCACAGCTGGGCTCTGACTGCCTGGGGCACAAGGGGAGGCAGAGGAAACGGATGGGAAGTGTGAGGGAGGGCTTAGGAGACCCAGGGGAAGAGGATAATGGGCTCTGGATGTCCCTAGCTCTGTTTGCCAGAAGCTGAGTGTGTCCGACAGGGGATGGATCAGGGGAGCGATGGTTGCCCTGTTCTGTTCATTCCCTCTTGAGCACCTGGCACCGGCCACTGTCAGCAGACAGGATACGGGGCTAGATGGACCATTGGTCTGACCCAGCATGGCCGTTCTTATGAGGTTTGCTTACCCTGAGGTATTGCCTGATTTCCAGTCTAGCTGCACTAATGTGTCCAGGTCTGGTCACCCATATTCAATAAAGACGCACTCAGACTGGAACAGGTGCAGCGAAGCACAGCAGGATACTCGCAGGAATGGAGAGTCTCTCTTATCAGAGGAGACTGAAAGAGCTTGGCTGGTTGAGCCTAGCAAGATGAGAGGGTCTCTCATTGCTCTCTGTAAATAACTCGGGGGTAGACAGCTGGGCGGGACAAGAGCTACTGAAGCTACAGGACAATGTTGGCACAAGATCACACAGAGATAAACTGGCCAGGAATTAATTTTGGCCTGGAAATTAGTAGAAGGTTTCTGCCCATCAGAGGAAGGAGGTCCTGAAGCAGCCATAGGAGCAGTGGGGCGAACCACCTAACTAGCCTGAGAAGTCTACAAACAGGTCGATATGCCAGGGTTGCCTGCCCTAGGAGAGGGCTGGACTCAGTGACCCAGGAACTCCCTTCCAGACCCTCACACACTGGAAAGACCTGCAAGAAACTTCACAACCTCTGTTTCCTGTTCTCTGTGAGCTTGATTTTTAGGTGCTCAGCGTCCACTGTGACATTTACAGCTAGAAGTGACTCGCTCAGGGTTGATTAGTAGCAAAGCCTGGTTGAGAACCCAATTCCCCTGTGTCGTACAGCACTGAACCACATTGCTTCTCCGTACGTGAGCAGGAATGGGAACTGGCTGCATCTGATAACCCCACACTGCTTCTCGTTGCAGGTTTCAGGTCAGAGGGGAAGGGCAGTGCGCTTACTTGGATGAACATGGGGTCAGCAGCTCCCGGTGCTACTCAGAGAAACATTTCATCTGCAGGCGGCCGGCTGAGTGCTCTAGAAGGAAGCCAAGCGGTGCAGGAGGGGACACAAGGGCTAAAATCATGTAAAGGGCCAATGCAGTCTCTTCAGTGGATGCAGAACTTACACATTCATCATCTCTTGTGCAGCATCCTACCTCTCCAACCATTGCTCCCCCCAGATCCCTGCTGAAAAACTATCTTTACAATGCTCACAACACTAACTCTACTACACAATAACACCATTGCCATGGTACTACTGGACAGGGGTTTTAGAGGTTTAGGTATTAAGGGGATATTAGATTTAAAGTGAATAAATTATTTAGATTATGAAGAATCCCTGCTTTTATTTTAAAAAGAGTATGTTTCTAGCTTGCTTGGTTATGAATATACCCTGGCAAATCAAAGAGAGCCTGAGTCTGCAGAGAGCTTGAAAAAATAACTCTGAAAAGTGCCCATTTAATTTACTCACAAATTAACTCTGGAACCTAGTGATGACACTAACTTCTATCTTTTTCCTCTATGCTGGTTTTTCCTGGTGAGGGTCGTGGCAGCAGCATGGAGAGTAGGGAGGACCAGACCTCCCTTTTCTCCACAACAGATTCCAGCTCCTCCTGGGGGATTCCCAAGCATTCCCAGGCCAGCTAGGAGATATAATCCCTCCAGCGTGTTCTGGGTTGGCCTCCTCCCAGTGGTACGTGTTCAGTAGAGTTCCAAAGGAAGCCTACCAGGGGGTAACCTTACCCTGTCTCAGAGAGTAAGCCCAGCAACCCTGCAGAGAAACCTCATTTCCACCGCTTGTACCCGTGATCTCGTCCTTTAAGTCATTACCCAAAGTTCATGGCCATAGGTGAGGATGGGGACATAGATTAAACTGTAAACCGAGAGCTTCGTCTGAGAACCCAGCTCCCGCTTCACCACCACGGATCTGCACAGCGGCCTCATCGCTGCTGCTGCCCCACTCCGCCGGTAGATCTCCCGCTCCCGTTTACCATCACCAAGCGGTGATTGGTTGATAGTTCTGCCCGTCTCTGCACCCGGGTGTCCAGAACACATAGACTTCCTCCGAGGATCGTTACCTTGTCGTGGTGGAGGGGTTTGCGTGTTCCGTTGAACCCCAGGGCTATGTCGTCTGGAGCCCAGTGCTCCTGGGAGGGTGACCCTAGACGAACAGGTCTGGGGGGAGGTTCCAGACTAAAAACGATCCCGTGCAAGATGCTCATGAAAGCCCAACAAATGAGCACACGAACCTTGCCTGGATTAGGAATATGGGACCCACCCCTGAAGCCAGGCCTGGGGGTGGTGTTAGTGAGTGTCTGATGGCCAGGCAACCCATGTAACCCGGCCGGGCCTAGCCCGAAAAGGGGACAGGGGCTCAGCACCCGCGAGGCAAAGAGTGAGGGTTGGGTGCGATGCCCGAATGGCAGCAGGAGGGATGGACCAGGCTGGGCTGGCCTCCGCGATGGAGACTGGCCTGACACTAAAATACAGGCAGAGGCAGCTATTCTTTGAGCTAAAGAACCAGACTTGTGAACAGCAGCTACTGCAGGGGGACAGAGACCCTGAGTGTGGGATACAGACCCTTACACTTAGCAAAGGCTGTTTCTGTCTCTGGCTGTTTACAGGTAAATTAAGTGTGGGATGGTTCACAATGGGGCTCCTCTCCTGGGTCTGAACCAAACGCCGAGGAAGGATGAGGGGGAACCACACAGAGAGAAAAGTAACAGGATGGACAGTGTCAGTTACGCTGCTTCTACCTCCATTTATAACTGGAAATTAAACCCTGTCGCTGTAGCAGGAACGTCAATGGCCTGTTGCTACTGCAGTCACTGAGTGTGTAGAAATTGACCCCAGCTTCTGGGCAAATGCGCTGAGTGATGCATTTGGTCTGTAATAACGTGTATGTACGTGTGTGTCTCACTTGTGTCTGAATTCTGTTTATATTTATATAGAATATATTAACTGACTTTTGTTGTTTTTTAAGTAGCATGGGGAGGAAAACTCTCTCTCATGGGATTTGCAGGATCTAAGGTTTTCCTTAATCTTCCTCACACTCACCCAATAAAGGTGTTGTTTTGTCAGATGCTACCTGGTAGTTTGTGGCCCCTCACCTGACTCGTAGAGATGTGCCTGTCCTGCAGCAGTCCTTGCATTCAGAGGTGTGTGTTTATTGCCGCTGGGTGTCCCAGTGGAGGTGTGACAGCCGCTGTCATGGCTGACACCCCAGGAGTTGAGCCAGGGAATGTACAGAACAAGACGCAGGAGCTGCCCTGGGCTGGAGCTGCAGGGCCAGGCTTTGTAGCGACGGGTGTAATGGACGTCGATCCTCTGTGGAGCAGACGCAGGCAGCGACCTGTGACCCGCACTGACCAGTGTGTTACAGAGTCACTAATGGATCCGGGCAGAAATTTTTCGACAGGCCATTTCTCTTGTCGGGAAAATGGTGATTCATCAAAAATCAAGACATTCTGCAGGGACGTGTCTATTTTGACAAAAGTTTGGACAGAAACTTACCTGGTGGCCTGCCCGCCTGGCTCCTCAGCCGCCCACCTGGTGGCCTTCTCGGGAGCCTGAGTTGTCAGACTCCCAGGTTCTCAGCATTGTGTCAGGTGGGGAGCTGGGTCTCCCAGGGCCTCCAAACTGTTTGGACGTTTGCCCCCAGTGGGATGCCAGGGAGCTGGAGAGGTGGGACTGGACGCTTTTGCAAAATTCTTCCAATATTGATTTTTTTTTTTAAACAATCCCTTCTGTGGAAAGTAGCGCATAGCTGACCATTAATTCCTATTTGGAACTCTCTCTCTGCTGGAAATGTGGAAATTTTCCATGGGAGGGAATTTCCAGTTTCCCTTCCAACTCCAGTGTCTAGGGATGGGATGACTTTTGATGGGATTTGGCACCAAACTATCTTAAATTCCTTGGAAAATTCCAGCCTAGATGCTTATTTAGTGAGATGTATGGGGGGTGTTAGGAAGGGTGGGAGTGTGGAAATTTGAAGAGTTTTGTGGGCCCAGTTCCCTTTGATTTTCTCTCCCAATTTCCTTAGAAACCCCCTCCTGAACATTGCTAGAAGAGGGGCGCCTATTCCTAACACTCCAGCCCCCCTGCAATAACTTGAAAATGCATCACAAATAATATGCCTTAAGTGCGGCAGTACAATTTAATATAGGCTCTGCCCGCAATAAGTCAGGCAAATTACAAATCCAAACCTGCCTCCCCTTCCAGTAACACATGCACATCCCCTCCGCCCCCGTTGTAAATAACATATTTTGCAACTACATCGGTGCAGAGATCTGCCTATGCAGCGCCTGTTTCAGGCTCTTAGATTTACTCCAGGGATCACTTACACCAAGGTCACATGACTCTAACCTCCCTTCCGCACTGCCCTGGGCCTGATTCTCAGCTACACTCACCTTTATGCTACCATGGCCGGTGTGGAGCTGGCATAAAGGCCCTGCACGAGCTGGCATAAAGGAGAAGCAAAAAGGGGGGTTAAAACTACTTAAATCCCAGCCTGAGCTGAGGAATGTGGTAACTGGGGATCAGGCCCTGTATCTCCGAAGGGGAGGTGTCGACACATCCAAATCTCTTTACGTATCATGGTACAATGTTGAGTATGTGCTGTGGTGCAGACAGCAGAGGGAGCCACAGTTCACTCGCAGTTCCTCTTAGCACCAGGCTTCTGTGATAAAAATACACTTCACTGTCACCAGCTCCCCAGCTGCGGTAAATCGACCAGAGCTCCGTTGAGTCCTTAGAGCCAAATCTCCGGCTGGTAGAAGTCAAAGGAGCTGGGCCTGTTAATGCTGGCTGGGGATATGGCAGGGGTCCCCAAACTTTTTCGGTCATGACCCTCCTGGCCCCCTCCTTACCTGCTCCCTGCCCCGCTGGGATTGGGGCTGCAGCTGGGGCCGGGAGCGGGGCCATGGCTGGAGCCGGAGTTGCGGCTGGGGCCAGGAGCCAGTGGGGAGGCCGGAGCTGGAGCTGCAGCTGGGGGTGGGGCAGAGCTGGGGGCAGAGTGGGGCTGGGTGGCACTCCCTGCCTGCCCCACATGGAGGCTGGCTCGGGCCCCCCAAAATGTTCCTCTGTGCCCCCCTTAGGGGGGGCCACCCCACAGTTTGGGGAGCACTGGGCTATGGCCTGGTAATTGTAACTATAATTATAATGAGCATTTAAGAGACACATTTCACACATGCAGTGGAATCGTGCTAGGTGTCTTTTGTGGCCTGATGAAAGTGATATCTGCTCTTTGTGGTCAACTGGGCTCCGGAGGTGTCACAGATCAACTGATAACTTAGAATCACACTGTAAGATGAGCGAGGTATTTTTAACCTACTACCTCAGGTGGTCAGACCTGTCTCTTTACCAAGATGTTGAAAAATTGCAGCTCTTTCAGAGAACTCCAAGAAGGATTTGGGCTCTGACAAACATGCCGGGCAGTGGGTGACATAAAGAGGTTGGTCTACTTCGCTTATCACACACGAGGTTCGGGGGAGACTTGTTCACAGTGTACACGGGAAGAGGATTGCTAATCGAGATCTTGAGTCGAACGCACTGAGGCAGAAGAAGATCCCATGGCTGGAAGCTGAAGCAAGACGAATCCAGATTGCGAATATGCTCCCCCCTTTTTAACAGTGAGTGGAACTAGCCATCGGAGCCACTTACCGAGGGACATGGTGGATTCGCCATTGCGTGAGTGGTTTGACTCACGAGTGGGTTGGTCTAAGAGCTGTCACTCAGCCGCACGGATTGGGCTCCAGGCCGGAATCACCGGATGAGATTCTCTGGCCTGTGTTACGGAGGAGATCAGATGAAATCATCGGAACGGTCCTGTCTGGCCTTAAAAATCTGCGGCTTTTTTCCTTCCGTTTCTGGAATTTATATTTATTTTGGTTACTTTGCTCATTTAACTGCACTTTGTATAACGGCGGAAACCTGCACCATCGTCCAGTGCCCCTGTTTGTGCATCTTTCATATGCTGAGAACCGTTCACCCCAGCAGGGCGTGCCTAGTGGGGAGCTCAGTACAGCACAGGGCCAGATGCCAGCAGTGTAGAGAAGCCCCCGGCTCCAGCTCTTGGGGGGGGGGGGGTCTCCATGAACCCCACCCATTCCCAGTAAGCAGTGGATGGATCCTTACTGTGACTGGCAGAGATAGGGGGAGCCAACGCCCTGAGCACCCGGACATCAGCTTACAACAGAAGATCAGCGCAGCCGCTGCTAACCCAGCCCCCCAAGGCAGGCGGTTAGAGGGGAAAAGGGCACTGCTCCCATGGGCACCTCTGTCCCAGTGCCATGTCCCTCCAGGTTCCCGTCTCCCAGGGACAATCCCGCAGCTCCTGGCCGATGTGCCAGACAGAGCTTCGACTTGTGTCTGTGGTCTCACAAGGGCCTTTCCGCACCCTCCTCCTTCCACCCCACGTGCATTTGCCCCACACCGCCTCACTGCCGCCCCCTCCCCTCCATCCACAGCATCCACCCTCATTCCCTTTGAAGGGTTTTTTTTCCTCTTCTGCCTGTAACAACCACATTGATGATGATGATGCGCTGGAGAGGTTTTAGTTGGGGGCTGAAGGTGACAGCTAGTGCTGTTCTGTTATTTTCTTTGTTGGGCCTGTCTTGTAGGAGGTGACTTCTGGGTACTCGTCTGGCTCTGTCAATCTGGTTTTTCACTTCAGCTGGTGGGTATTGTAGTTTTAAGAATGCTTGATAGAGATCTTGTAGGTGCTTGTCTCTATCTGAAGGATGTAGACAATGGATCGTGTGGTGTGTCCTGGATGGAAGCTGGAGGCATGTAGGTAAGTGTAGCGGTCAGTAGGTTTCCGCTATAGGGTAGTATTTATGTGACCATCGCTTATTAGCACAGTAGTGTCCAGGAAATGGACCGCTTGTGTGGATTGATCTAGGCTGAGGTTGATGGTGGGATGGAAATTATTGAAATCATGGTGAAATTCCTCAAGGGCTTCTTTTCCATGGGTCCAGATGATGAAGATGTCATCAATGTAGTGCAAGTAGATTAGGGGCGTTAGGGGACGAGAGCTAAGGAAGCGTTGTTCTAAGTCAGCCATAAAAATGTTAAGTATCAGGGGGTAGCCGTGTTAGTCTGTATCTACAAAAACAACAAGGAGTCTGGTGGCACCTTAAAGACTAACAGATTTATTTGGGCATAAGCTTTCGTGGGTAAAAACCTCACTTCTTCAGATGCATAGAGTGAAAGTTACAGATGCAGGCATTATATACTGACACATGGAGAGCAGGGAGTTACTTCACAAGTGGAGAACCAGTGTTGACAGGGACTGGGAGTGGCTTTCTCATTACAAAAGCAGCATTTTCTCTCCCCGGATTTACACACCCTCATCTATTATTG